TGCAAGAACAATTTAAATAAAAATACGTTGCGTAAATCCACCGGTGACCGATTTATAGTCTTTAAAGGTGTGTAGGTATTACTTTTAGGTACATTGAAATATTTAATACTCTTTTCGATAAATTCTTGTGATATTTTAGGTTTAGTAAATTTTCAAGGCAGGAAGTTTTTAAAATTAGCTGCAAATTTAATTAAATGTGATCTTTAAGCCTTTCAAATGGAAAAAAAAAAAAAAAAAAAAACAGGCCGGGATTCGAACCCCGTTCTTTCCGAGTGAAAGTTTAGGGGTCTTTACACTTAGCCACGCCAAAAAATTGAGGTAGCTCCTTTTTGAAAAATTTTTTTTTAGAAAAATTCTATAAAATCTCCTCTTTCTACCTATAAGAAAATAAATTTAAAATTAAATTGTGAGACTTTTGAAAAATGCAATTGAAATAAAAAAAAAATTATTTTTTTGCTATAACAATTTATTAAAATAAAATAAAGTATACCTTGATTGAAAAGTTAATCCCAGGGATAAAATATTTAAAAAATCAAGCTTTGAAGGATAAATTTTACCAGACATTGAAGACCGGATTACCGACTAGACACTTTGAAAGTTACCAACGGATTAAAAGTTAACATTTTTGCAATAGCAATAAATAAAAGCGGTAAGATTCGTCAGAAACGTCAGAGAATTGGAGTATTGGAGTATTCCAAGGGGATTTCGGAGTAAATCGTACGGTTGTCACGGCGTCGAGGGCCGGTAGGTGATCGGTGAATTACTGCGTGTACTAAAGCGAAATGATTGGCACGGTATCCACTGGGATTGATTTAATCCCGCGAGCACTTAGTAGACGTACTCCTGGTGCAATCGTACGAACAATCTCCGTGGTTTATTTAATATTTAACAAAACTCTTGCATATTCCAGTTGTAACTATCCGCAGTATAAATAAAAGGATTGATTAATTGCTCCAGCAGCAGAACGCCGATGAAAGTTTAACTCTATCAATGTTTCGGAATTTTAGATCCTGTCTATCTGTCTGTCTGTCTGTTTGATGATCCCTGTGCAAATTTAACTGACGCTAGCGGTATTTGATGTCGCTTAAGTAAACAGTAAAATCGGCGTTAAAGCACTATCTGCTATGCTATACTGCGCTAGTTTATCTACTCGACGTATTCCTGCTGAGGTTTACTGCCGTCAAATTTAGTTTCTACGTTTTCGGCTCGCTACTCCTTTCAAGAGTGACTTACTAAAGGAGTTACGATATAATTAACAAGATACTAATTACATCTTATGTAATGGATCTCACTGTCAATCTTTTGGTAAGCTATTTATAATTTCTTCTTAGAAACATTCAGATTTTATTCAAAGAATTTAATAATTTCTTCACTTAGGATCTTTAGAAGCTTGAAAAAAAAAAAAAAAAAAAAAAAAAAAAAAAACTGAGGCCGGGATTTGAACCCCGTTCTTTCCGAGTGAAAGTTTTGCTGTCTTTGCACTTAGCCACGCTAAAAAATTGAGGTAGCTCCTTTTTGAAAAATTTTTTTTTAGAAAAATTCTATAAAATCCCCTCTTTTCACCTGTAAGAAAATAAATTTAAAATTTAATTGTAAAGTCCCTAAAAAATTGAAATAAATGCATAGACTCGATAAATAAAATTCTTTAGCAAGTAGCGCTGCAAGTAAATTACCAATTACGTCATTTGATTAACCAATCAACATTTCTGAAGCCATTGAGTGGCAAAGCAGATTAAGACAAGCTTTGTCACCAATATTCCTCTCTAATTAGGTAATTTTCTTCCAAAATACGTGAAAACTCAATAAATAACCAATGAATAGAAGAATAAATAGTTGTTAGAACTGATTGGTGAAGCCAAAGCAGATTACTTTGTGGTATTAGAGTAAATGAGGGTTTATTTGGCTATTATCGATTGGCAAAGCTTAGAACGGGGCAACTTGATCATGTTATCACTGGAGGTTCATTAGCCGTTTGGTCGCAGTGTAACACATTATCGAAATGCATTCGGGCAATGATATCCCACTGCTGTTTCACGTCCTCCACTTAGAGCTCTGATTATGATATACGATAGTGCTTTACCAATAGCAGCCCTGCCCAGCCCTGACACTAATTGATCGTTTATATAAATATAACGCTGTCATATCAGCAAGCCTGATACAAAAACACAGGATTAATGGGCTCGTGACTTTTATTTTCTTATCGAACTAAACTAAAAAAAAAAAAAGATTTATGGTAATGATAAGAATTATTCTTAAGGAGAATTAGTTATTAGGTGACGAAAAAAGGCCTCCTGCTGATTGACATGCCGGGGAAGAATTACTCCCTGTTGCTGGAAAGGAAACTTTTACGGTGGATTTCATGAATATGGAATAATGCTAATATATATTTCTCAACCTCACCGGTAGTTATATATTGTGCTGAACAAGTTCAACTAAATGTAATCTTATTGGACAGAGATCCGGTGAAATTTCCTTAGCCAGATGTTCTGCTGGGATTGATGCCGGGTTAATTAAAACTCTATTTGAATATTTAATACTCTGTAGTTATTTATGTTTACTTTTGTTTTGTTATTATGATTTTTAGATTTTTTTACCGATACTTTATGATATATGTAACCTCGCAAGATTATAAAGTAATTTTTTTAATAGCAAAAATAAAATAAGTAGCGGAATTTTTTTGGTGAGTCCTAAAGTTTATTTTAATTGTATTTTTTTAAGAACTTCACTATTGAATTTTAAATTCATTTTCTTACAAGTGAAAAGAGGAGATTTGATAGAATTTTTCTAAAAAAAAATTTTTTAAAAAGGAGCTACCTCAATTTTTTAGCGTGGCTAAGCGCTAAGACCTCTAAACTTTCGCTCAGACAAAACAGAGTTCGAATCCTGGCCTCAGTAATTTTTTTTTTTTAACTTCTAAGTTACGATCACTTTTTTTTTTATTTTTAAACCATCCAGCCTTTAAGACTAACCAAAATTTATTCGTCGAATAAATTTTGAATTTATTTTTCTACAAGTGAAAAGAGGAGATTTTATAGAATTTTTCTAAAAAAAAATTAATTAAAAAGGAGCTACCTCAATTTTTTGGCGTGGCTAAGTGCAAAGAGCAATAAACTGTCACTAGGAAAAAACGGGGTTCGAATCCCGGCCTCAATATTTTTTTTTTTTTTTCAAGCATTGAAGATCACTTTTTTTTCATTTTTAAAATATCCAGCCTTTAAAAATGAACCAAAATTTATCTTCACTAGCTTTATATTAAAAATTCCTCTCTTTTCCGTCTTTTTAAGTAATATATATTAACTTTCTACCAATCAGATTAAAAACCAATCGGCTTCAGATACATTAACTCCCTTCTAGTAGAATTTCCCAGAAAAACAGAAGCTCTGAAAAAAAAAAAAAAATTCAGCAATTAGTTGTTGATTAAAAAAAATGTCCGAGACAAAGTGAATGGAATGTTTTATACCATGGAAGATCTATCAGATTGGATGTCTATCTGGATCCGTAGGCCTTGGCACAGCCCTCCAATTTATTAAGTTGGTTTGATTTCTTCGGGGCAGAAGCTGATACGCCTCAACTTAATTGGAAGCGATCGAACTGCTTGGAGAACGGGTGAGTCTTTATTGCGTGGAATGCTGAGAAAAAATGAAAAGAAAAATCAACCGGGAAGGAAAAAAGGAAAAATGTGAAGCGATATGAACGGAACGATGGGGGCGGATGCTACTGACTGATTCAGCAATCAAAGGAAATGTCGAGCAGCTGCGGGCTGTGGCTGATGAGTAAACGACTCGACTCGGTATATCGAATCGACACGGGCGACCGCTGGAGCGTCTGCCTGTGACACAAGAAAATCCCAAAGAAGTTGTCTCTATGTCTTGTCTTTTCTTCTACATAATACTTGTAATACTCAGCCTTTCTTCTTTACGGATCCAAATTGCTATTTCGCTCCTCGTGAAGGAAACTCGTATCCGGACAATACCCATGTCGAGTTAATCAAACATGATTCATCTGATTGTCACGATAAAAAAATTTGGAAAATTTACCTCCTAAGTTAGGTGACAGTAAGCTAGGAGTTATCCTGGTCTGATTAATCAGCTTTTTAATTCTGGGCGACTTTTTGGGATTTTTTGGGGCTTTAGTAGAGAATTTTTTTAATTAAAATTATCTGGAGATTAAATTTGACAAAAATAAGTAAAATTTAGAAAATATTGTTTACAAAAAATAAAAAAAAAAATTGTTCAAAATTTAATTCTCTAAAAAATTAATTAATTAATTAAAAAAAAAATTAATTCATAAATTTAAAAAATTAATTGAAGGAAAATTAATTCAAGTAATTAATTCAAATAATTAATTTAAATAATTAATTCAAGTAATTAATTTGAATAATTAATCCAAGTAATTAATTTAAATAATTATTTAAAAAAATTAATTTAAATAATTAATTAAAAAAATTAATTTAAATAATTATTTTAAAAAATTAATTTACATAATTAATTCAAATAATTAATTGAAGAAAAATTAATTCAAATAATTAATTTAAATAATTAATTAAAAAAAAAATTAATTTAAATAATTATTAAAAAAATAAAAATGTATATTAACGTAATTAAAGCACCAATTATTTATCCAGCGAGCCATCTTCCAAGAAGAAATATATTTAATAAACTCCTTAATTTCGAAATGAAGCCATCTAATAAAACTAAATGGCATGATTCGTAAACAGCAATTACACATTGCTCAAGCATCCAGAGCATCAATATGTATATCAGCGCGAGTATGCATACTGATAATTAAAGTTGATTATTAAACCGCGGGTATGACGCGAGGCTAATGAACTTTGCCAAGATCCATACATCACCCGTTTTAATTGAGCTTGTAAAAACCCAATAAACTTCAATTACATTTCTGGGCTTTGTTGTTTCTTCGCTAACTCATTTAATTGTTTATTATTATTATCATCATTATCAATTATTAATCTCTTGATGGTTACTTTCCACTTAATTAACCTACTTAATACGAACAGTCTTTTTGTCAGACTTGCGCCCAATATTTTCGGCCTCTTCAATAGTGTCCGGGAGTTTGCAGCCCAATGTCTCGGGAAAAATTAATGAGATTATTCCTGCTGTCAATCCCATGCTTCCGAAGAGTATCAAAGGTAGCGATTCGATTATTATTGCCTGCAAAAATAAATAGTATATTGTTATTTCTTCTTTAAAAAAATTAATTATTAATATTTCTTCTTTAAAATAATTAATTATTAATATTTCTTCCTCAAAGTAATTAATTATTAAAATTTCTTCTTTAAAATAATTAATTATTAATATTTCTTCTTTAAAACAATTAATTATTTTTCATTTCTTCTTTAAAATTATTAATAATTAAAATTTTTTCTTTAAAAAAATTAATTATTAAAATTTCTTTTTTAAAATATTTAATTAATGATATTTCTTCTTTAAAATAATTAATTTTTTATACTTCTTTTTTAAAATTATCAATAATTAATGTTTCTTTTTTTAAATAATTAATTATTGATATTTCTTCTTTAAAATAATTAATTATTTAAGTTTCTTTTTAAAAATGATTGATAATTACAGTTTTCTGTTTAAAATAATTAATTTTTAAAAATAATAAATTTATTTACTAATAGCCGAGTTTGCGGCGCCAAGATGGAGCCAATGCGTCCAGTCATGCTGCAAATACTGAGCAAAAAATGCCTCGCTGTTGTAGGAAACATTTCCGCGGTGTAAACATAAACAGCGGCAAAAGCCATAGTGATGCAGCCTTTACCGCTCATGTATAAAATAATCGGCGCGTAGGACCAGGAATCTAAAGAAAAATTGTTTAAAATAACTATAAGTTAATTAAATTAATAAATTATAAATAAAATGATAAAAAGAAAAAATGACCTTTGGGTACAAACTGAATGCAAAGACAGAAAAGTCCGCTGAGAAGAAAAGAACCCGAGAGCGTCCGTTTGCGTCCGACATAATCGATAAGTACCCAGCTGAGAAAATACGCGGGTATCTCCACGAAAGAAACTAGAATGAAGTTTACATATTTATCCCCGGCAAATGCAACTGAGTTTAATGACAATCCGTAGTAGACAAATGTATTTGTTAGCCAGCAGAAACAACATCCAAGCAATCTTATGAGGAGTTTTGGTCGTGACAGTGCTTCTAGTACTGAAGATGATTTTTTAATCGGCTCTGATTTCTTCTCTTGCTGTTTCAAATTATTATTTTTAACTTTAAATGATAATTTATAATAAATTCTTTAATTTTACTTAATTTTTCTTCATGAAAAAATTAAATTTTCACATAAATTATATAAATAATACAAAATATCCTATTTTAATTAATAAAACTAATAATAGATGGCGTCTCTGTATTCTTCTAACATAATTAATTTTTTTTTCAAGAGATGGCGTTGAATTTTTTTTTAATAAAATTTTTTTAGGAGAAAATTTTTCAGTTTTTGCCATATTTTTCATGATTAATAAAAAAACATAAGTTTTAAGTATAAAAAAAAAATACTTACAGGATTATCAGAGTTCAATTGTCTGTAAACACTCATTTCAATGCTATTCCAGTTCAACCCGTTGACTTTAGCGATTTTCTTATAAATATCCTCAACCTTGCTATATTTCTTCTTAGCAACCAGCCATCTTGTCGGGATTTAATTAATCAATGATTTTTATCATTTAATTATACCAAAGTTTATAAAGCTAATTACCTGATAGACTCCGGTATTATCAAGGGTAAAAATATCGCTAGCAGACCGGGCGCGAAGAAAACGCGGATGATGTTTCTCCATGACTTTAATCCCATTGCTGTCAATCCTAACAGCATTTCTCCCAGCGCGTAAACACAGCACATTATCGTGCCACTTAGAACTCGCCGTTTTTCCCCTGCTATTTCCAATACTGTAAATAAAAAAAATAACAAATTTATATTAACTTACCAGTAAATATTTATTTTAAAAGTTATTCCATATCAACGCAAAAGTTTTCGTGGTAGGAATATTGATCCGAAAATTTTATTCTTGCCACGTAACTGATGGCATTGGCCGTAAATTCTGAATAATTTTTTTATTTATTTATTTATTTGTTTGTTTATTTACAGAAGAAATAATATTTGCGTTAAATATTTAAAGAGTTATCCTTGAACTTATATACTTTAGAACTGTAAGACACTACTTGTGAGAAAGCAGCCATCTAGCGGCTAAAAATGTAAATAAAATTATTTAAAGTTTCTGCGCATAAAATATTTGGCGCGAAAATTTTAAATATTAAAAAATTAATTAAATAATTTTTTAATAAAATAATTGAATTTTGAATTTTTTAATATAAATTTCAAAAATTTATTTTTTAAAAATTGCGCGCCAAATATTTATGCGCAAAAGCCTTTGCGCATGCGCAAAAAATATACGGCCATTTTCTGTGAAAAAAGCAGCCATTTTGTTATAAAAAATCAATTTAAAAGTATTTTAGTAAAATTTTATGGTAATTGACCTTGTAAATAAATAAAATTCAACTTATTGAATTAAAGGCAGCCTAAAAATTAAAATTCATAAAAAAAAACTTTAATATCAAAGACCTTGAAAGGTACCAACTAATAAAAAGTGTGAATAAAAATAAATTAATAAGATTTAGTAACAAAAACTAACATGTAATCAAATTTGAAATTATAATTCAAAGAAATACTTACTTAAAATAAATCCAGTGCTGTAAATTCCCGCTGACGTAACGGATTGCATGAACTCAAATATAATAAACATGAAATAGTTTACGGAGAAGGATTGAACAATCCCAACAATTCCGGAGAAGAAGGTTTGACTAACCAGGAGAGTTCTCCGTCCATATCTATAAAAAAAAACAAATTAAATTCACCCTTACTAATTAAAAATAATAATATTAAATAATGTAATAATGTGAATTACCTATCAGACAGATATCCCGCAAACATTAAACCAACTAATTGACCTAAATTATTAATCGTACCGACTAAGGTTAATTTCCACTTGTTTTCGTTACAGGTAATGTCCCACTGGCATTTCAATAACCGAGACAATTTAAAATAATTTATTGTGTATTATGTCAATAACATAATTTAATTTATTATTCATTAGACAGTTATTGTGACAATAAATACCTCGCTGAGTATAGTCTTCTCATGAGGATCGTAAACCCAATTATTGCATCGCGCTGTTTTGTTGGTAAATGACTCCAATGTGCATTCTGATTTTTTAACAGCGCCATCTGCTTTTTTAACGGCAAAATACTCACAGCTTCCAAAATTCCCTTGAGCGGGTGAAGAATACTTTGACCAGGTTGTGTTAAAAATTGGAACTGCTTCGTCGCATTCTGGTACTAGGCACCTAAATTGGATTTATAATCATTAGTTAATAATTAATTGTAATTAATTTTTCAGACAAACCTGTAATCAACCTCGCCAGATGTAAATACATAACCTAGCGCAAAACCAGCTGATAGTATCAACGGGAAGCTGATAACTATATAAACAATCAGCTGGTATTTTCCTAGACGTTCAAGATCGGTCAAATTTTTTTCATGAATATTTTTATTTTCACTTTCATCTAAAAAAAATTTTTTTTATGTTTAAGAAAAAATTAATATAAAATAATAATAATAATAATATTAATATGTTTAAAAAATTTATTTAAATAATTAAATTGTTACTATTAATTAATGGTGTATCTATTAAAAAATATTATTGTAAAAACATATTTATCATTATTATTATTGTTATTAATGGATGAATAATAATATTTAAAATATTTTTGCAAAATATAAATATTAATCAGTTTGTATTGTTAAATAATTTTTTTTTACCGCAGTATATGCAAGTAGTGTTAACAAATTACTCTTTTTTTATCTAACGATAATTATAATCGCAGCTTTATTGGATATAGATACTTTTATTTTATTTTTATTATTATTAATATTTATATTATTGAAATTTTTAGATTATCAATAATAATAATAATAAAATTTGTTTTTAAAAAAAATATTTAATTGAACGTTAAAGGTTATAAAAACTCATATAAATATAAAACAGTCAATTAATTAAAATTAATTATATTTACATATGAGTTTGAAATAAAAATTTTCATTGAATATAAATTAATTTTTAATAAATAAAATATTACTTGGAAATAATGGATACTTCTCTGTTCCAAAACTCATTAAAAAAATTCTGATATTACTAATTAATAAAATAATATGTTTTGTTGTTATAAACTGTGAAGTTGTCAAAATATTAACTAAAAGAAGATCATATTTTTAATAAATCTAATTAAATTATTTTATTTAGAAGATATTATGTTGAAAAAATTTTTAAATTCATAAAAAATGAAGAAATAAATATTTCTTCTTTAAAAAATCTAAAAATATCTAGTTAAAATTTTTTCTTACATTTTTTATTGTTTATTATTTTTAATATTAAAAATTAATGATAAGTTTATGAATAAATTTAATTTATTCATAAAAAATTCAAGATATTGACCTTTATTATTATAAATAATTAAATTACCAATAAAAATGTATAAAATAAAAATAAATAAGATAAATGAGAAGTAAACAAATAAAGAAAAAAGAACTGAATAATTATTATTATAAAATTACCTTGTTTTTCATTAATTAAACAATTAAACTTGACATTTTCTTCTTTGTCTTCCATTTCAAAGAAGAAATAAATAAAACACTAAAAATTTCTTCTTATTTAAGTCATTAGTAAAAAAAATTTAATTAAAAAATTAACACATTAAATGAAGAAATAAAAAAATTAATATAAAAGCACTATTGAAATAAAAAAAACTAAGAAGATAAGTCAAAAATTGTGGTAATTATCAGCGCTGACACGAAACTGATAGAAACTTAAGCGATATTGTATTATTAAATGATTATGAGACAAGTCTCGTAAGCGCTGCGTTTAAAGACTGCTCGAATAAATAAACAAAGACAACATATCGCGTTCATGCACCGGATAAACCCTCCTTTCACTGTTCGGCCACTACACGCGGTTTAGTAATTTATAAATGAGTGGGACGGAATATATTATTAAATGCAAATTGTAACATTAATTAAATGATACGAAGACCAAGTGTTATGCGTGCGAGCGGTCGGCCGGTCAATATATTAATATATTTATATTAATTAACTAATAAATGTATTTAGTGAGCAGCTACTTGCTTCATGTAAGATACAAGTGAAAGTCTGCGGGATTATTTAGTTTATCAATTTTTTAGATACTAGATTTTATCTTTATCAGTTTGAGAAATATTTACAGATAAGCAGCGATGAAAAATTAATTTTATTTACTAATTTTGTGGTATCAAGTGAAGGAATTTTTTTTTTTATTTGATAGTGGTTAACAAGAATTAAATTGAGGTGATAGATGATTTTATTTGCTTTTTATCAGTTCTAATGATTTAAGTAGGTCAGACCTTGAATTTTTAGATTAAGTTATTGATCAATTATTTTTATTTTTTAGGTTAGGTTCATAAAAATCCACAGATTCGGTAGAATCTGGCGCCAAGTTCCGTTCAAATCCGTTGTAAACGGAGCGCCAGACTACCGAGTGTGTTTACTGTAAGCAGAATGGTATTTCGAGGTTGCAAAATTTTATTTAATTCTACGGTAATTTTTTTTCCTAAATTTTATATTTCAACAGTAATTCATACTTTATTTTACTGATATTAATTAATTATATTTAATTATAACAACTAATCTACTTGAAATTATTAAATTTAATCAGCACAAACTATAGCAACGCAAAAATTTCGATCCTGACTTTTTTTCGATGGGCAAAGTGATCTGCCACAGACTACATAATTCGATAGTGCATGGTAATCCTCCGATAGATGGGAAACTACAGTTAGAAAAATACATTTCACAGTTTGCATCTACACCCGCCAGGGTGCGCTGGAATTATTTTTACATAAACTGTAGCTTCAAGGGAATAGTTTGCTATAAAAATGCAGCCAACGCGAGATTTAAATTTGTACTAATTGTAAATTTTTATTATAATTACAAAAAATACTAAAATCCGAACAAAAACAGTTTCACTGTAAAAAAATCGCGCCAAGTCCACGTTCATAAAAGACTATTAAGAAAAAAAAATTTTGTTTTCTTTACAAAAAGATATAAAATAAAAAAATTAAAAAATCCAAGTAACCGATATATGATTGTTTATGATTTTCGGAAATTAAAAAAAATTTTTTTGTAAATTTAAAAATTAAAAAAACAATTTTGGAACGTACTTGGTGTGCGTCATATTGTGCATTTCAATTTTTTTAAAGTCCTATTAAATAGATTTTACGAATTTAATTAAAAGTAAAATATTTTGCAACCGCGCACACTAAATACGTTCCAAAATGGTTTTTTTGATTTTTAAATTTACAACAAAATTTTTTTTAATTTCCGAAATTCATAAACAATCATATCGGTTACTTGGATTTTTCAATTTTTTTATTTTATATCTTTTTGTAAAGAAAAAACTAATTTTTTTTTCTTAATAGTCTTATGAACGTGGACTTGGCGCGATTTTTTTTACAGTGAAACTGTTTTTGTTCGGATTTTTTTATCGTTAATAAGCTTACTTGATTTTTAATAAATTTTTTTCAAGATTTTAAAGTTTAAAAAAAAATTTTCTTCCCACTATTTTATTTTTAAAAAATTAAAATAATAATCATGAATATTGACTTATTTTTATTATTGTTGTTAAAATTAAGCTTGAAAAAAATTTTTTACTATACATTTTTTATACACACTATGCACACCATGGTGTGCATACTTCTAAATGCTACGCATCTTCATATTTCATTAATATAATGATATTTTGTGTTAAATTTAACTATATATACTTATAAAAAAATTATTTTTATTTACTAAGCTTGATTAATTTTTAATAATTAGTTTTTTAACATTAAATCATTTAATAAATATTTATTAAATTAAATTTAGTAAAAATAAACTGAAAATTCGAAGCATTACTACAAAATTTTATTCTTTTATTTATTTACTTATAATATTAATATTAAAATAATATAATAATAATATATTAAAAAAAATCATTTAATATAGCTTCACAAAATTAATTTTAAAAAAAGAAGATATACTTATATAGTAATTATAACTGGAACTACTTGCGAGAAACTCGCCATCTAGTGGCGAAATTCCAAACTAATTCTTCCAGAATTGCAAAAAAAATATTTTTAAAGTGATGGAACTTACCATCAAAAGATTAATTTCTTCTTTACCGATGAAAAGTTTCATAGCCGACCGTAAAATAAAGTGAAATTGTGAGAAAATTTAGTGACCATATTTTCATCCATTGAAATAAAATATTCAAATCTCCTCTCTCGACCTAAATAACTCTTACATTTAAAAGAAGTGGGGAAATTAATATAAATATTTAGAACGTATGTCACAGATGGGATTTATCTTCAACACGTAGTCAAGAATTTTTATCTCAACAGCTTTGATTTTTTTTTAAGTAAAAGTGTCCAGAATGGAAAGTTTTAATCTTGAAGAAACATTGAAAAAGCATTTACCAAAAGAAGAATATAGTAAAGTAGTTAAAATTTTATACGGAACTCCAATAGAGTAAGTTAAAATTTATTATAAATATTTATATTTATTTTCTTAATTATTAAATTGAAAAAAAAAATATTTTATTGTAATAATAATAATTTCAGATCATTAAATCTAAAAAATTATCAAGGAAAAAATGACCTTGAAGTACAAGGCTACGATTTTTTGCCTTGTACTATAACTGAGTCGACTCCGAAGCGACGAGTCCGGGTAGGATTGATCCAGCACCAGGTGACATACCCCACAGACCGACCCATCAGTGAACAATTGTCTGACATCCATCGTAAAATTGATGATTATATAAAATATGCCGCTGCAAATGATGTTCAAGTGTTGTGTCTTCAAGAAGCTTGGAGTTTGTATTTTTTTTTTCTTATCTTACAGAATATTAATTTGATTAAATTTATTAAAAATTTTATTAAAAACTTACAGACATGCCATTTGCATTTTGTACTCGCGAAAAATACCCCTGGGTGGAATTTGCGGAGGACGTTAACTCTGGACCGACGACAAAATTATTATCAACACTTGCGCGCGAGAACAAAATGGTGATTGTGTCGCCCATTTTGGAACGGGACACTGTTCACGGTGACACCTTGTGGAACACTGCGGTCGTAATTGACAACTACGGCCAGGTTCTGGGCAAGCACAGGAAAAATCATATTCCAAGGGTCGGGGATTTTAACGAGTCGACTTATTACATGGAAGGTGACACAGGTCACCCGGTTTTTCAAACTGATTATGGAAAAATTGCTATAAATATTTGCTATGGGCGCCATCATCCTCTCAATTGGGTTATGTTTGGAATCAATGGTGCTGAAGTAAGATGAACAGCTACCTTGCTTTATAAAAATTGCACTGTACCTTCTTAACTATTGACATTTTTAAAGATATAAGCTCATCATGATGTTACACTCATCAAGACCTTTCATTTGAGTACCCACATGCATTTTTTATATATTTTTCATATATACATATATATAATATATATAAATATATGAAATATATGAAAAATTGATGTGGGTACTCAAATAAAAGGTCTTGATGAGTG